GCTCGGGTCTCGCCGGGCTGGGGCTTGTATCTTACCCCCTTCACAAGGCGCTGGGTTCTTGCAGGTGTGGATGTGGTCTGGATGTTGTCCTGTGTCCTGTGGTCTCTATTTTAGGAAGATTTTTCTTTGTTATATTTTCATAGCTCTATGTGTTTTTGGGAGGAGATTTCCACTGCTCTACTCACGCCGCCATCTTGGCTCCGCCTCCCAGTAGTATCATTTTTATGTTCTGCATTTTTCCCACTTCATATATCTTGATTTAAGTTGACTTTAAACATTGTATTAATGTGGTCATGTTTAGCTTTCAGAAAGAGTTCCTGCTTGATGAAAAAGAACAGCTTGCTAACCACAGAAGAGAAATTGATGCTAAGCTTTTGTCTGCACTTCCTAAAGGTAAGACTTTTTCTCCACGGTTGACCAGCATCTTGGTCATAGAAGTATCGTGTGATTGGATTTTCTTTGAGAACTCTTCCACTGCTGTCCAGCTTGTGTTCTCCTATGTGTCTGTGTCTGCCTATACCAAGAATGAACCTCAGTGGAAGCTCCACTCTTCTTACATTTTTAATGTACACCTTTCTACATGTTCTTCCCCTTGCATTTTAGGCATCCTCGAGTTTTCACTGGAGGCTGAGTAGGGAGGGTGACCAGGGAGCAAGCGTATAGTCAACCTCCTTCATCCCTGTCCTCTCACCTTCTCCCAGGATAATGAGTACTGCTCCTCTGCCCATTCTTCTCCATCCACCACCTCCACTCCCTCCAGCCTCTTGGTGCATGCCAGTGTTACGGCATTTACACTTAATCTTTTGTAACTCCATATGGTGCCACACTGGGCTACCGCTGTGGGCTGGATATTAATCTTCTCTCTCCTTCCCCAAGTAGGCACTCACATGTTCAGCGACTTAGTGTTTTCATGGGTAAAGATGCACACACAGTGAGGTAGTTGCATCTGCTGTTGGCTGACTGCCCCTAGTTTGGCCTATGAAATGATGTGAACATAACCTAATCTTTATTTCATCCAGCATGTGATAGTAGCAGCTCACAGACTGTCTTTATCATGAATGAGCTGTGTAACCCTTTCTTCAGACAAAACAGTTTGATGGAAAGTCAGATTTTTTTTCCAACTCTGAAAGAAAAAAACAAACACAGTATCAAGCCCAAAAGAAATTGGGCCAGAAGAGCTCTTCTTTTAACAGAAACTAAATCCAGTTTGAAAGACCCACTGATAAATAGGTGTATGTCCTGAGGAATTGAATGGGTGATATGCCTAGACATTGCATGATGAGGATGGATATTTGAAGGACCCCAGGGACTTGGTCTGGTGGAGAAAACTCAAACCAGGTGTTTGCAATTTTCAAGTACTAACAAAACTGTCAACCAAAATATAGACTTCATCCCTGTTGCCCCAGAGGCTAAAAGTAATAATAGTGTGTCAAATTACAAGAAGATAGATGAGAGTTTGTATGAGAAAGAAAATTCTGATAGTCCAGGGGACCTAGAGGTGAAATGGAGTGCACTGGGATTTCATCAGCTCTCTCGGCTGTTCAAGAAATGTCACATGGCTGCACCTCCAGGGGACAGATGTGGTGGGGTGGGGGACCCACCTGGATGGATGTGTGGGCCAGCTTTGAAATGGAGGGCTCCTTCCACCTTTTAAGACTTTCTTTGTGAAAGACAAAGAAATTTAATCCGATCCAAACTTAAAGTGTATGAAAATGATCAAAACCAAGTAGGAGAATGAAAGAATTGATGTTAGCAATGACTTAGAAGATTGGGCTGATGAGGCAGAGTCCTAAATGACAAAAGTTGTCATTTACCTGAGGTCTGCTGTACCTCAGTTGTTTTTCTTAATGAATAATAACAAAAACAGTATTAGGATCAGAAAAATTAGAAACAATATGAGATACTAGGTTCCTGAAGGTCCAACAACTTGTAACTCCATATATAACAAAATTTTAAACCATTTAAGTTTATTAGCCTGTTTTGTTAGAAAATGTATCATAACTGGTCATAAAAACATAGTCTTCACAAATCAGAGATAACTTGGTATATTAGCCAGATTGACATTTCTAAATTAACAAAATTATTAAAACATGCTTAAAAAGTGTCAGAGCCCCTCTTTTCCTGAATGCCATCAAAATTCCCCATAGTTTTACTTCAGTCTTTGCTTTTTGGAAACTTGGACAGGCATGTTTGGAGAGGCCCATGTATTACTGGAAACCTTTTTTCGCTTCTCATCTTAACAGGTCAGTGGTTCTATTAGCTCTTGGCAATATAATGGTAAAAATAAGAATATATTATAACTTTAATGTTTGTTTATAAGTTTACAGAAGTTTCTGTGCACTGAGTGAGGAGTTCTTGCTTCTGTGAAATTGAGCATGAAAATCGCTGACTTTTCTCTGCGGACTTCCTTTACTGGAATATCACAAACAAGTAATGAAGGGATTAAAGATCTTTTCCTATGTAAATATTATAATGTTAAAATAGATTTTCCACTTAGGAATTACAAAATGGGCCAAATGTATTACTCTACCTTTTTAAAATAGCTTCCTTGGGATATAATTAATATACAATTCATCCATTTAAAGTATATAGTTCAGTGGCTTTTAGTATATTCACAGAATTGTGTACCCATCACCACAATTTTAGAACATTGTCATTATCCCAAAAAGAAACCCCATGCTTCTTAGCCATCTCTCCTCTCTGTCATTCCTCTAGTTTTGTGATGACTTATTTTATGAGCTGTTTGTCTTTATATTAGCAACTGCCACCCAAGTGTAAAAGTTACAGTGCATTACTCCTCTGGGAAGTAAGATTTGTTTTCAGAATGTTCTGGATCTAGCCTGTGCTGATAGGCTGTCACATGAAGGGTGGGAGAGAGGTATTCTTGGCAATCCTTCCACTTACATTTCTTTGGAAGATTCTACAATACTCAGGTTTGGAAGATTGACTCCAGCAATAACTTTATGAGAAAGTTTGTTCCTCATAGCTAATTGCAGAAATTATGTCCCCCACGAAGAGCCCCTAGCAGACCAAACTATCATAGGTATTTGGTATTATATATATTGCAAAGCATGGTAAACAATCAAATAACTTATAAAGTATTATAGTCCTGATGCCAATTCCCCTGAAATTGCCTGACTTGCAAAATAACCCACCAATTCCCATCAGAAATAACTAGAGACAGACTCATAGAAGTCATATTGCCATGGAAATAACATTCAGATTCACTCAGAGGAGGGCCGCAAACTAAGACAGCAGGTGTACTAAGGGGTCATTTAGTGTAGGTCAAAGTCTTAACGGATTTGAAAGCAAAGTAGAAAATGTATTACAGCGGAAGTTAGATTGGCTGTGCATATCATTTTTTTGCACTGTGGTGACGAGTCTTATTACTGGAACCACTTTAGAATTATACATATTAGGACACAGCAACAGTCAGCTGAATTCCAGCTGTTTAACCTAATTTTAAAATACACTCTTATTCCTTATTTTCAGGAAATATACGCTGAAGAGTTTAGAGGTAAAGTTGCAAAACAACCTACCCTTAAATGATGCAGAAAAATGAATATGTAAATATGTGTGCCTGTGTCTACAAATGTATGCATGTAAATATACCTTTGGAAAGGGAAAACAAGGATAAAAATAAACCAAATGTAGAAAATGTTAACATATTATGTGGGATGTCTTTTAATTTTTCTGTGTATCTGAAAATATATAAAACTTTTAAAGGAAACAAAGCTTCTTTTGGTAGATCATAAAACAATAACAGACTGTTCAAGACCACCAATGAGCAGATGCTTGTGGTAGAATGGTCTGTATAAATGAAACAGTGGAGTGACAGCATAGATTTACACAGCAGGGGTAACTTCTGTGGGTGTCTTAGGATTGGCTCTTTTTCCATGTTTATAATAAACCCAACCAAACCTTCAACTAGAGGGCCTAATGAGCACTACAAAAGCCATATGACTTTTTTTTTCCTGGAAAAGGATGAAAAAAATACACTTCAGCAATTCAAATAAAATATCATTCTCTTAAACAACTGAAGTGTTTTCTCATGGGGATATACTAGCGTAATTACATTACATGTTTGTTTTACGAATTTTACTTTTAAATTATAATCTTGGGAAAGGAAGCCTCTCTATTACTTCTTTCTGACATCCACACCATTTCTTTCCCCTATAATCAATCTCATGTTGTAGAAATGAGGCAAATCTTGGTAACTGAAAAAACATATTTGGTAAAAACAACAGATAGATAATTTGTTTGCTTGAGAGCTTCTTTTCTTTTCCCACAAGATTATTTCCTTTAAGAATTAGTAAGCTTGCAGAACCCAAGAATGCACTAACAGTTGCCAAAGGGAAAGGGACTGGGGGTGGTGGGGAGGGTGGGAAGGGAGGGAGAAGGGGAATGAGGTCATTACAATTAGCAAACATAATGTTGGGGGGAGGGGAGCACTGGGAAGGCAGTATAGCACAGAGAAGACAAGTAGTGACTCTATAGCATCTTACTACGCTGATGAACAGTGACTGTAATGGGGTATGTGGTGGGGACTTGATAATGGGGGTGGTCAAGTAACCACAATGTTGCTCATGTGATTGTATATTAATGATATAAAAAAAAAGAATTAGTGAGCTTGTTTGTACATTTAAAGCATATTTTGATTTATGACCTCATTTAATTCTTCAGTACATGATCAGATGTAAGGTAATAGGCTTGACCTAGTTTTGAGTTGGAATCTAGGCTTGGTTGAAAAGAATGCAGTGAAGGGCTGGTGGTGTCCGCCGTTAGCGTGACCTGGGGCAGGGGTACCTAGGGGACAGGCTGCCTGCTTGGAATCCTTGTGGAATCAGTGGTTCTCAGTCCAGGACAGCAGCATCCCTGGAGAGCTTTAGAACCAATTGGGAGCATTTTTGTGCCCCCAGCAGCTGGGGATAATTTGGCATTTAGTAGAAGAGCCAGGGATATTTAATGTCTTACAGTGCAGGGCTCACAACAAAGACAATTCCCTTTCCAAAGGCCATAAGCATCCCCGTGGTGATCAGTGATGGTGATCTATTCCAGAGCCTGGGTCCTATGAGTCTGATACCCTAATGAGGTGCACCTACCTGTATGCTTGCTAAATGCTGTCCTAAGACATACCCGGCAGTGAATGGCTATCAGATGACTGTTCACTGGTGGGCTGCCCAGCCTGTTTTGTCCAGAAAGGGACTGAGATCACTGTGGACTGTAGGATGACTTGGCTTGCCCACCTGATGCCTCTCTCTCCTCTCCCTGCCCCAGGCTTCTTGGGGTTCAGTTTCTGTGATGAACAATTATTCAGTCCTAAGAGAACATTGAAACAGGGTGGTTTTCGCAGTAGGAAAACTATAGTTTTTTGTGCGTGGGACATTTGTATAGTCTCCCAGTTAATTGATCTTTCCTTCTAGAGTATGGGAAATAAAGAATGCCAGGAAGCAACTTGTTAGTTGGCTTTTTCACTGTGCTGCTGGAATTCTTTTATGTCTTTAATTGTATAATTTCTACAGAAAAATAACTGTCATAAAATAAAAGTGATGTTCACAGTCACAAATTAGGACCAAAAAAGTCTATCTTGACTCTTTCCAGCAAAAGTTATATGCCACTCTGTGTGCTAAATTAATGTTTTCGTCCTTATCCTATCTCAGTCTGTTTGGAGTGCTCTAACAAACTACACAAGATGGCTTACAAACTGCAGAGATGGATCGCTCCCAGTCCTGGAGGCTGGAAGTCCCAAGGTCAGGGAGCCCTGGGTGGCAGGCTGCTGACCTCTCACTGTGTCCTCACAAGGTGAAGCAGCAGGGAGCTCTGTGAGGCCCCTTTTATAAAGGGGCCCTAACCCAATCATGAGTGTGGTGCCTAATCACCTCCCAAAGGCCTCACCTCCTAAAACCATCACTTGGAGGATTAGGACTTCAGTGCATGAATCTGAGGGGAACATGAACATTTAGACCATAGCACACCCAGCTGAAGTGATTTTGATGGCAGAAGAGGTAAGTGGTGTTATGCTCAGAACCCAATTAATATACTTTACTTATCAGCCGTGAATTTGAGGCATGAATTTAATACCTTTCAGAGCATTTGGAATTTGGTTTCGACAGCTTCTTGAGCAGTCTTATGAAAAATACAGCCCAGTTCTCTTCTTTGGAGTTTAAATAATAAATTGATACTCTTTGGTTTGCATTATCCTTGAAAATATTTTCAAAGTATTTACTACCAGCCATTAAAATTTTATCACCATAATCTCACTAGAGCCGATTGGAAACTAGGAAGCTATTAGTCAAACTTCCTCAAAAGGCAGGATGCACCATTATCCTTAGACCCTCTTCCAGAGGAACCTAATTAACATTGCAGAGCAAGCACACCTCTGCCTCCAGCTGTTCTGGTTTCTGGGAGGACCAATTGAGAGAGGGGAGAGACTTTTTTAAAGCACACTGTCTTCACAAAAGTCAACTCAACTAAAATTTTAAGGTGTCCATCACTAGAAAGAGGCAGAAAGAGAGAAATGCATGCTTGTATCTTTGAACACAAAGGGTAATATAAAAGTTGCCTGTGTGTGGTTCTGACTCATCACTGAAAATGACCACTTAAAAAAAATAAAAGGAAATTGAAGCAGTTGAAAATTAAAGTCCATGTTTTCATACCCACCTCTTTTCAGCTTCTCCTTTGACTCAGCCTTTCTAAAACTTTTGTGGGCCCTGGGGCTATCAGCACCTCTTCTCTCCTTCCCATTCCTGAGGATCCACTCAGAGGAGCCCCTGTGAATTCATGTGATTGAAGAGAAGGGCAGAAGAGAGACCTTTATTCTCTGGCAAGTTTGGCCATTTCTCCAAAGAAACAATTATTTGGTGACTTGGCGATAGTCAGCATTATAGTTACCATCACATGAGCACCTCCAAACGTCAGTGAAACATTCGTCTGCTTCTCCAGTATTGCCAGGAAAATTAGGGCAATTACCTTAATCCATCATCCTGCTGAATATAGCCAGGAGACAAATGTAAACATTTCCTTCCAGGGAAAGCCTAGAAGGGGGAGGCTCTGGAGCTGTGTTAATGGAAACTGTAGTTAATGGAGTTATGCTCCATTAGAAACACAATCAGATAGTTACAGCTATTTACCGTTAAATAATAGGGTGGAGTAATGTTGTGGGTCATGATTGTTGCTGCTTGTTGATGGGCATGTGGGAGTTTATAGTAGTGTCTCTACTTTTGGAAATGTTTGAAGTTTTCCATAAAGAAAAGCTTAATATTCTTCGTTAAACCTAAAAATGGTTCAAAACAGATACTGAGATTTCTGCTTGCTAGAAAGATCCTACTGTTCCAGGACTTCCCTAACTCCCCTGGATAAAATAGAACTGTTGCTATACCTCTGAGACAGGGACCGTGGGGGTAGTCAGAGTAAGGCGAGGGCCCCCAGAAAAAGCAAAACAGGATATTTACAGTCAGAGCAGTGTAACTACATGCAAGGAAACCCCCTACCAAAACTCCGTGTTAAACATTAAGCTCTAGAGCCATTCTTCAGTGAGCAGTGTAACTACATGCAAGGAAACCCCCTACCAAAACTCCGTGTTAAACATTAAGCTCTAGAGCCATTCTTCAGTGAGATTAGTTAATATTCCCCAGATAAAGGAAAGTAGCCCATGTTTTTACTATGCTGATCATTTGTAATCATGTGTGAGATTCACTTTGGCATGCTAAAAGGCCCAGGCCTATGTGCTCTTCTTCCTCCTTCAGACCTGATGTGATTTGCAAACTGGGCAACTAATTTAGCATGCAGGCCCAGCAGTAAACAACGTAGTAAAAGGCAGGAAGGATTCTATCTTAAAGATGAGACTACATTTTAACATCCAGGAAGTTAAGAAGTAAGATTCTTAACTTACTCTTTAGCAAACACAATGGCTCAGCCCACCCTGGGGGTGGGACAGATGGTCTTGATTGATGTGCTCCCAAACCAAGAAGCTGCTATTCTGGGAAAGAATCAGAGCAGTAAATTTCTTGTGTTAAAGCTGCAAAATAATCCAGAAGACTGTAAGAAACTTAGTGTCTCTTCAAAGATAAACATTTGGGGACCATTTGGTGGGTCTGCATCCCTAGCCCTTTGTCTCTCAACCTCCTATAAATCCCCTAGACAGCACACCACCATGGACTCTCTTGTTCCCTCCTGGTGTGAGTCAGGAGCTCTGTCCTCTCACTGTATCTCTCAGTAAAAGCCTTTCCCTGGCTCTCCTACCTTAAATGTTTGCTAAATTCATTCTTCAACTCTGCAAATAAGAACCCCAGCATCACCTCCACCCCTCGCTCTTCTGGTTTTACTTCTTAGTTCAGCCTGTCATGTATGTGTGTGCATGCATGTGTGCTTACACACTTCTCATTAGGCATCTGCCTCCCCCATCAGAAGACAATCTCCAGGAAAACAGGAACCATATCAGTTCCATCTATCACAGTTTCATGGGCACCAAGAACAGAAATACAAGTTCAACAAATACATGTCACATGAATAAATAAAATGAACACATGACTACTAAGTACAGTATTTTTATTCTTTTTTGTTTTATTTTAGTTGCAGAATTAAGAAAAATCTTTGAACCAAAGAGAAAAGAATTTTTAGAAATGAAAAGGTAAGATTTATTGTATGTAAGTAGGAAGTAGAAGAGCTTGGCAAGCAGTACTCAGTTTTCCCCAGGAGCTGATTTCCATTGCTCATAATACCTTTTTTGGTGTCTTGCACAGAAAAGAAAGAATTGCCAGGCGCTTAGAAGGAATTGAAACGGACACACAGCCCATCCTCTTGCAGAGCTGCCCCGGATTAGTGACTCATCGGCTGCTGGAGGAAGACACGCCCAGATACATGCGAGCCTCGGACCCTGCCAGCCCCCACATCGGTGAGCACACACACCTGGTGGCCTGTTGGCAAGCAGGCTGTGTGAGATGTCCCACCTAGCCTTTTTTCATCACTGGTATTGGAAAATGAGGTAGCCCACAAAAGTAAATTATGTAGATGTAATTATTAGATACATGTATTCATTAAAAACTGCAACACATAAGACAGAGATCCTCAGTAAAAATGTGTTTGTAGAAGGACTGAATGGAACATGCTTAAACAGAATCCCCGTATGCACAGACCAGCGTTCAAAGTCAAGCTGGGCCTTGAATGATTAAGGTTCATACTCTACATGTTTAAGCAACATTCTATTTAAATTATTTTAATATATGTAATTTGAAATATATCACATATTTACTTCATATTAAACAGTATGTCAAACATGACAGGTTTTCCCTGATTACTCAGCCATTGTTGGGGGCACCAAATGTGCAACTTGATCTTGGGAGAGGACGACCATGCAGGGCCTTAGTTCCCTCCTGTATGTTAATCTCACTTCATGATGTGATCCCTTTGCTTGTCTTCAAAGTTCTGATCTTCTATGGCCAGAAGACTAGAGAACTAAGGGTTTTAAAGTTACATACGTGAAGAATCAAGGATAGAGTACCAACGGTTACAGCCAGAAATAAACCCTAATGTGTATAAAATGTTAAATCTATATATTATTTGATAATTTAAAGTTTCAAATGTTAATGAGCAAAGGAAGAATTATTTACTAATGGCATTGGGAAAATGGGATGTGGTGGGGTGCAGGAGAGGACAGAACCCTCCTCACTTTATATAAACACAAAAATATCACATAATCAAATTATTCACATGATTAATTTTTAGAAAATGATTAACCGTGAAAACATAGGTGAATATTCAAGTTGAATGGAGAAGGATATTCAAAACAGAAACAGCTGTAGAACTCACAAATGACCAGACCAATTGACTTGACTGCATAAGAATTAACAACTGTACTCCAAAGAAAATCTTACTCATAGACATCACAAAAAATTAAACGAGCAAGTTTGAAAAATATCCATAAGTAAGATACGGTCTCATATTCTTATGAAAGTTTACACAAACCAATAAAAATGACACTATGAATCAGTAGACTATAGAGCAAAAAGCATAACCAGGTATTCCAGAGAAGAAAAAGATAATACAAATAGCTAATAAAAATTTGGAAAAATGCATGTATTCTCTTTTTCTAGTAATCAAAGGGAATTTTAAAAATTAATACTCATTGTAAGAGCATATACTGCAAATTCAAGCATAAATTGATGCAGACTTTATAGAAATTAGACTGGCTGGCAAGTGTCTTGAAGTGATATACTTTTTGATAAAACCATTCTGCTTTTACCAGCCTATCTATAGTGATAATAATCAGATTATCAGACTGATTAAAAGCTAGAAACAACTTGAATGCCCAGGAATATGAGAAGGGTTAAATTAATTATGGAAATGCCTGTCAGAATATTATAAGAAGCCTTAAAAAAATGATGTCTTCAAAATAAGGTTTCCAAATATAAGAAAGTGTTTTATGTAGAATATTAATATTACATAAAACATCAGGATTATTTTACATAGAAAAAAAGAAATCGATTTTATAAAAGGCTAGAAGGAATATATAGAAATGTTTGGCAAAGTGTCAATTTATTATTGATTATTATGCACTAGTGATTATTGGTGATTTAGGTTTTACCTTCCTATGTTTTCTTGGTAGACATTTTCTACATCAAGTATGTGTGCTGTAACTGGTAAAAGCCACTTCTATAAAAAACAAAATGAAAACCCCACCACAATCCTTGAATCTTGTTTCAGCGCATAATTGTTATGGCTACTGTCTGCTCCTGTGAAGCCACAATCCTCCACTTACCAAATTACAGCAGCTCAAATCTCTGTTATTTTTTCTAGAGGAGTCTGAACTCTGGCCTCACACATGAAATACTAAACTTAAAAACAAAAAAAGTGAATAAATAAAGGGAAATAAGGCCTGAGCAAGAACTGAAGTGCTTTTGCGAGGGAGGGGCCAAGCTTTAGCCTAGCCATGCTTTGGTCTCAGCTATAGAACGAACATTTCTGTATTTCCCAGCAGATCTCTGACTTCTGCATCCCAGGTGAACCGTTTTAGCTCAATACACCTGTGTGAGGAATTGGCCCTTCACACACAGCACAGGCACTCACATGTGAACTGTGTACAGACTGATTATAGTATGTAAGTCTGTATTTGGAATCTGTATGTATGATCTGTGTGATCGTCTTGTAGGCAGATCAAACGAAGAGGAAGAAACTTCTGACTCTTCGTCAGAGAAGCAGGCACGGCCTAAACCCTGCCCAGAAACCTCAGTCCGTGGTGATTCTTCCTATGGCGCGGGTGCCATGGACCCCCAGGGTCTTGAGTCCAAAGCAGAAAGAATTGCAAGGTACAAGGCAGAGAGGAGACGGCAGCTGGCCGAGAAATACGGGCTAACTCTGGATCCTGCAGCCGACTCAGAATCTCTCTTTCGGTACACCAAGCCCAGGAAGGCCCCTGATGCTGCTGAGGAAAGGGGAGGGAAAGGTGATAGACAGGTGGGATCCAGCAGAGATGCGAGCTCTGCCTCCTCCAGGGCCTGCACGGCTGAACCCAAAGACTATGTCCTCCGCGGGAGTGATGGGGTGTCCGACACAGAGGAGCTGCTCAACGTGGAAAACCAAAGTCGAGGTCAAGAGCTGAGTGCCACTGAGCAGGCCCATGACCTGCCCCCCGAGGTGGAAAGTTCCTCATCCTTCCCATTCTCCAGGCGGGACTGCGCCTTCAGCGAAGTGCCAAGGTCCCCAAAGCACCTGCATGGTGTGCCCCTCTCCTCGCCTCGGCTGCCGCCCTCCCCGAGCCACTCAGCCTGCGACCCGGCCTGCCCCCAGGAGGTACTGTCCAGGTAAGCATCCTGACATGCATTAGCACAGGGCATCGCTGGATCTGCCCTTTGAACTTGTGGGTCCAAGTCTGCATATTCCTGGCATTCTGGGGACCTCTGGGCTCACTGCAGAAATAATGTGCTGTGTGATTTTTAAAATTTCCACAACATCAAAACAGGTTCACCGAAGCAGGAAACTTGAATTTTTTTTGTTGTACATTCTTTTTGAAAATAATATATTGAACAAGTGTCATAGGGACACCTTCATGGAGGCCTTCAGAACTCTGCTCACCGTGTTCCTCACCTGCCTTCAACAATTGTCTTTTTCTTTGTTTTCCTGTAATCATACTCAAGTGTGATTTCTTTTGTTGATATCATTTAAAAGTCATGCAGCAGAGGGACCACCACCACTACCTCATGGAGGGTCTCAGTTTAGGGTATGAAATGACTGCAAAATCCACCGACTATAACTGTGACATGTAGTATATAAGCACAGCTAAGAAAACAGTTGTGCATGTAAGAACACCTCATTAAAAAGATCAGCCTCTAAAAGAAATCAGTGTGTGAACAGGATCCGTCACGACAGGAACAGTTCCCATAGGGGAAAAACAGAAAAGGTATAAAACCAGAAAGTAAAATGCCAGAGAGAATGTGTGTTTCTAAATTTAAATCTCCAAACTTAAATGAAGTTTACATTTCCAACTTTAAATGAAGTTTAAACTCCTAAATTTAAGTTACGCTTAAATTCCTAAATTTAAGTTCCTAAATTTAAATTTTATAAGTAGGATGACTATTTAAAATGCTACTTACTTACACATCTTACTTTAAGGTTTCAAGTATTTATCTAGGCAGACTCCTAATCATGTTTTTCAGTTCAAACAAGCATTAGCCTCACAGATGAACGGTGAGAACCTAAGGTCAAGCAAATTTATTCTGGAAAAAAAAAGATGCTTGGAAAATACTATTTCACATTGGGACAGGACAGTAAATGTGAGTGTCTTTAAGTGGCATACATGAAAAATAGATCACTTATTTAAGTTTACTGAGCCAGTGATGTGTCACTAGCTACTTATCATCCATGTTGAAATATTTAGAGATGTTCACTTCTAGGAGAATCAAATACTATAGATCCCGAGATTGTATTTTGAGGGCCTTTGCTCAGCCTTTGGACTTAACTACTTTAAATTTAGGAACTGTGGTCTGTTGTCTCATTTTTTGAAATGAGGTGTGTTGTTTGGGAACTTTGCATTTCATAGTAGAAACAGTGTTCTTGGCTTAGCTACTCTGTTCAAGCAAATTTCTTCATGTGCTTTGTGAGCAGGACAAAGAAACCTAACATTGCAGTTTAGAAAGAAAATTGGAGTAATTATTTGGGTTTAAAAACATGAGGAATCTAATTTCTGATTGCCATATTATGACAACTATTTAAGTAATCATGACATCTAAGGCTAGCCACCTAGGTCACATATAATTGGTTCTCAGTGAGATTTTGATTTAGATGTAATAATAACTAAAACTGAGTGTTCCAGGTAAAAAGATAGGATACTTAATTGTTTCATGGGAGTTAAAATCTTATTATTAAAAAAAAGGTTAAGAACCATTTCTTTTTAGGTTATTTGAAGAGGCATATTACCTAGCAGTTTCATAAGCTTTAGTCTCTCAATACTTGACTTTCACAAAAGAGCCTTAAAATAATTAAAAATTATAAAGGAGTTCTTGAGAAGGCACGTGCTTTATTTTGTAAAGTCCTTCAAGGTGTACAATTCTATGGTTTATAGGCAGAGAAGTACAAATCATTTCATATACATTAGGAAAATATCTGAGATACATTTACATAAAGAAGAAAGGAACATACTATGTGACATGTAACATTACAAAATAAATGTTGATTTTTTTTTTTAATATTAGGTTATTAGGCTTGTAAAGATGGATTTAAAGTGGATTAACATTCTGCTTAGATTGTCCTTTCTCTGAAGCCAGGAAATTCAGGAATCAGAAAATCACTGTTGTCTAATCTCCATTTAGGGAGGTAGAAAGACAAAATTCTTTGTGAACTAAAACAGTAAATAGAGAAACCTCAGTGACCTAATAACTATAAGTAACAATGAAATGTCATCCAGTAGGGCAATAAGTAACAAAAAAGCTTAGGAAGCTTCAGGAGTGACAAAAATAGTATCCACAAGTACCAAAACAATACCACATGTATTTGTGGATTTGTTGTCTCATTGAAATGGATTTTCTCACTGCTATATTATACCATGTTATCACCTTGCTCTGCCAGGTGGTTTGGCTATTAATCTCTGAATTAACTCATTCCCATTTCATCATTTTATTTTGTGCCCACTAGCAAGTGACTGTTTTTGTTTCATTAATTACATATGAATATATCTCTCATGAATAAATCATCAAAAGGCTACCTCTGGTTTCCTAAAAATCCAAATGTGAGTCAGATATCAAAGGCACAGTTTTTGTATGTTCTCATATGCACTAGCACGTGTACACAGAACAGTCATTAGTTTTTATACTCCCTCATATTATATTGCTCTTAAACTTTACAAGCTCATTAATAGCCTTTAGGGCAGTATTTAGCTGAGTAATAAATTTATTTTAGAATTACTTAATGATAAGTTTGTACGATAAAGAAGAACAGGTATGTGTGTTAGAAAGTCTTTTAGCGCAGGAATCCTGTCAGTAGCCTGGGAACTCAGGTGAACACATTGTCTCTCCATGAATCCTGTCTTCCCCAATCCTTCCAAGACCCATAAACATAGAACTTCAGAAATTATGTTTTCTGGAGAGGTACTGTTACTGATACGAACCATTCTTTACTAATTATGCCACTAAGTTTTAGTATAAAATTCAAAGGGGTATAGGTTATTCAACTTTTTAAAACTCCAAGCTCCTACTACTACTAGAAATCCTGAATTCAAAGTTCTTTTTGAATTGGCACTTTGTGTATCTCTTATTTTCAAAAAAAAAGAAAGAAAGAAAGAAAATGCACCATACTTGTTACTTCTGTGAGTAGGGAAACTCACTCCCTGGCTTCCCACAGCTGTTTGCCTGAGTGTCAGCTGTGACTCCCTCCCTATTCTCAGGAAACTGCAGCTGGCAAAGAGGAGGATTGATTACATATTACCTCCTAGTGGTGATCCACTCTAGAAAAGCATACAGAGTAGAAGCTGAAATTTGGCTGGGGGAGAGCTTCCACTGGTAACACGGTTTGGAGAGGGCTTCCCGTGACACCAAAGGGCTGTGGATTGGCTCAGGAAGATAGACCAGGGCAATACCATGAACACAGACTCAGCCAGTTAAGAAGGACGTGGGCTTATGCTATGCTCTCACGGTTTATTTCTGGCTGCATTTGCTCATCTCCCAGTGAGAGGTTTGCATCTAAAACCTCTCCAGAGCATCAAGATCTAAATTTTAGTTAATTGCTTGGTGGCCTGCATTGATGGAAGTGTCTCCGGTAGAACGATGTGGAGGTACATAGCTGGCTTTGACCGTCAGCATTCCTGTCCTAGATCCTGTCTCTGATGGCAGGAAGATCCCTAACACCCCTTGTCAGGGCAGAATGTTGTGGAAAACGTAGATCTCTGAGGACCTTCTCTCTAAAGAAGAGACCTCTTTGTTCTCCTCACAGGTGTTCTAGAATTGGAGTAGTGGAACCATTTCCAGCTGTACCTCCAAACGTTTGTTCCCACCCTGCTCTACTAGCTTTTGGCTATTGTACATGGTTCATTCATTCCTTTTTTTTTTTCCATGTTATTCTGTTCTAACTGGCAAGTTTCAATGTCTATCCATTAAATTAAGTATGAATATGTCAGCCAAAATACTCACTAGTAGTCCTAAAAATTCAAATGTCTGCCAGATTTTAAAATGCAAAATGTTGCTGATAGGTACACACAATGTGCTTTCATATGCCTATTGTGTATCTACAAAGCAACCATTAGCAGTTTTTCCAAACAAGCAACTTTAAGCAAATAAACTGTTAATTTTAATGAGAAGCTGAAGTTACTAACCATTCTTAAGGTGAATAATGTTTTATAATTAGAAGCTGTTGTATAATTAGAGCTGGATACCCCCAAGGTGGAACTGATTTTACTCTGCTGGATTTGACTTCACTTCAGTAGCAGGAAACACTTTCTAGTCTGTTTTTAAACTGTTTTTAAGTCTGTTGACTGTCGGGGTCGTAGGGAGTTAGAGCATATAGTTACATACTTGGGTACAAACCAAGAGCAACTCTCATCCTCTGTGACAGCTTAGGCTGTGTTCTTATTTCCTGGTAATACAACTCTCTGCCAGTCAGCCGCCACATCATAAAACAGTTCTGTGAACCCGAGGTTACCATCCCAAGGTTCTGTCATCCCTCGCAGTGCTAAAGTCCACCAGGGGAGGTGACTCCTGTCCCACAGTGAGCTGGCTCACCCCAAGGCCTCACAAAATAGTCAATGTTAAAGAATTTAAAATTATTAGAAACGTAGAAATAAATAGTTTAAAATCTATTTAATACATGAAAAAAGTAAAGATTAAAGAACCCAAGTAGCTGGATTAAGACTGTATAGCCGTTTTGACAAAACTGAGTCTGGCTACCCATCACCCGTCAGTTCACCTGGGTTCTCTGAACCCATCAGATCTCTCCATCACACCTGCTCTTGTTATTTCTGTCAATTCTATTTTCTGTCATAGTGGAAAAGAGACTTTGTTGTCTTTGCCCTTTGAAGGTTAAAGATGTTTAGGAAAGAAGTCCAGGGATGTTAAAGACACAGATTATATGGATATACATAAGGTATTTAAAAGCCTTGCCTTCATAAACAAAATGACCATTTATAATCTAGGAGGATTCAAACTCTAGGCATCCACCTCTCTGTCTGTACTTCATACATATTTTGATTTATGGGTTAATTTCAGCTCTCAGGTATTTTAGCTAATCATTAAAGAAAATTATATTGAGGTTTCTCTGTGCTGGGCACTGTTCTCCTAGCTGGGCATATCATTAAAAAAAATAGTGGGGAGAATAACCA